ATTTCTGTGGAGGTTTTCGACCAGAAAATTGCTTCGAACTCACGGCAAATGCTTGCGAACTACGAAGGAAAGGAATAGTTGCATAAGTCGTTTCGTCTTTGCACCTAGTATAACGAAATAAAAATCTACATGGTAGGAATATATTTCAAATATAACCATACCGTGATGGGCTGGTTGTCGAGTTATCATAGATTTAAATTTCGCACGTGCGACAAACCCACTAATCGTCGGGTCGGGTCCGCGGTTTTGTGCCTGCTACGTGGCGCGATCTCATCGCTCGCCGAACATAGTTCTACGTCCGGTCACCGGACCAAATAAAAGTTCTACAAAAAGATTGTAACCTACCCTAAATTAAAAGGATGCCTACAACTATGTACAATTGTGAAAAATGTCTCTGTTGACCTCGATTTTGCCCAAACATGGGCATGGTGGACTGAGTTGACCAAGTCAACCTTTGACTTGGTCAACCTAAGCCTTAATGGGTCAAAATTGACCCATTAAGCCCTTTTAGAGCCCAAATCAAATCCAATCTTTTTCATGGCTCAAACCCCTCACTCCCTTGACCAAATAAAAGTTCTACAAAAAGTCAATCGTTAACTTGGTCAAACCATGTCTTAAATAGGTTAAAATCACCTATTTAGAGCCAAATTAATGACCATTCAATGCCTAATCAATGTCCCTTCGTTTTGAATCAAAATACACGGCCTCATGAGGCTATTTTTCCTTCTAAATGATAAGATATTCGATCCTAGCCATAGAACTAAGGGTTAGGCCATTTAAATATCAAAATCTTAGATCTTTTTGCTCTTGCTCTAACCTCAGACCTCCTCAGGCTCTGAAACTTGGAGAGAGCATTCCCACTACCTCCCTTCATCTTCCCCAACCAGATCCCGGCATTCTAAGCCCGCCGGCGGCGAGAACTCCGGCGAAATCGAAGCCATGAAACTTTCGGGGCTTCTACCGCTCAATCCAAGGAGATTCAGATCTTGAGGTCAAAAGAAGAAATATTCATGTCGCTTCAACAAATCCAAAGAGCCCAAGAACGTGAAAATCGGACCGTTAGATCTTTCAAAATCCCTTAGAATAGTTCACAATGATTAGGGTTAAATAGCTTTTTTGAAAATCACTTTATAAGTTGATCCAAACATCCCCCATGATCTCTGTACATGTCTAGATCATATGTTTAAAATTTCATAAGAATTCATTTAGTATTTTGAGAGAACGAAGCCAAAATAGGTTTAGGGTTTCGGGTTGCCCTTTCGCCGAGCCAGGTCAGATTCAGGTCGTTGATCTCTTGATCAACGGCGCGGATCTCGCCGAACCGCGGCTGATCCACAGCCGTGTATTGCTCCCGCTGTCCGGATCATGGTCTAACTTCATCTGGACCGTTAATTTGGTATAGCACGCGATCGGACGACCCGCATCATCTGCCGACGTGGATGAGTGGCCCTGGGCTTGATTGCGGCATGATTGCCGTAATCATTGATTGACGGCGCAATCATTGCGCCGCCGCCAATGATTGGCCGCAGGAGGTACAGCCAATCCCGTCACGCCATGTGTCCCGCGGGTCCCACCGCCTGATTAATTGATTTTTAATTTTATTTTAATGCTATTTTCTTTATTAAATCATAAAAAATTAAATATAAGGCCAAAAATTACGTGCAATACCTCAAATCATTCGTATTCTCGGCCTCTATATTTTAAAATTATTTTTATTCAAAAATTTTGAGTATATTTTAAGATATTTTAAAAACAGTAAAACTGTATATTTAATTTTTTTTGTTATTATTTTATATTACTATTATTATTTTGTTTATATATTATTTTAAATATTATTATATATTATTTGTGGTGTTGCTTTACTGTTATTATAATAATTATTATTATTTTTACTTTTTTTTTGTTATTTTTATTATTATTAGTATTATTAGTATAATTATTTTAAAAATAAAAGT